TCAACGTAGAGTTAGCTGAATGTATTTTGAATTGTGATGTAAATTGCATCTGAAAGAGTAGTTCTTCCATATTTATGGACCATGGAACATACTACAGCCATCGAAGGTGGCCATGTTTCCTTCAGTTAGAATAAGCTAGTGTAGTATTGGCAACAATAATACTTCTGTGAGTCATTTATGTAGTTCACTTAATTTAGTGCAGATGTTGCATGCAACACGGGGTATGGTGATGTTGTTACCTAGAAGAGCATCCATCATGTGTTCTCTTAATAAACGAGCTCATATTCTCCTATATATAAAATACAAGAATCGTTGTTATTGGATTATTTGATTCGTGCATCATATTTGAAGAGCCACAAAAGGCATGACAACCTAAGATATGCTAGCGTGGCCATTGGGAAAAATGGTTAGATATCATCATATAAATTTCAGTTACCTTTGCTTATATGTTAGCATGATTTAATCGTTCCTCTAATAAATGTTTATTAGAACTATTTTTTGTGCTATATAGTTGTAATGGTGATGTACGTGTTGGAAGGTTTCTATATAGGACATTCACTGATTCTGAGGTATGGGAGGAGGAAAATACTTAGTATTCTTGTTACTAGATAAGGTCATAATCATTGTTAGTAAATTCTAATCGAATGGTTTCATTTTACTGCTATCATGCTTTCATGCACAGGTAGTGAAATTAAATTTCGTGACTAATGGAAAGACTGTCGTATTTCACCATTCTATGGTTAGTAAATAATATATCTTCATTTAGGTATATTCAGTAATTTTATCGATCTTTTCGTGCGAGTTATGCGTGTATTTGTTTGTTTGTTTATAATTAAGCACAAAGTTACACAATGGGATATTTATGCTCTGCCCACTACGGGTATCGAAACCCGGTTTCTAGCGTTGTAAGTCCGCAGAGATACCGCTGTGCCACTGGGAGCATTCTGCATGTAGTTAGTGACACCCTTGTACAGTGAATGTAGGAATATAATAATAATATAATAGGAATATGATAAATATTATAATATTATATTATTAGCTTAGACAATTGCTTCTGTGTCATACTTTCCTGGAGTAAGGTCATACTAAGTTTGAGGGACAGTACAGATGCTTGTACAAGGTAGTATGAATTATCTCATGAATAAATATTTCGTTTATTCGTACATGTGTGTTTGCCTGTATTTTATTTGCTCTCCGTGTTCATTGTATTCTCTTCGTAACATTTCGATAACCTGCTGTGTTTCAGATACTTGATACTTTTCTATATGATATAAGTATATCCGAATAACACAGATTTAACATTATTTTTTCCAGGCAATTGATGTTACTTGTAAGTTCTAATCTAAATGTTTACAGTTCTTTTAATCGGAATTATTACTGTGAACACAATACTTTATGTCATAAAAATGACTAAAACATATTAGTTAGACTTACTTTATAATTTTTCGTGTTAGTTTGCTGTCGATCCCCCAGACCTTCATTTATAAAGCCAACCTGAAAGATAATTATCAAATTTAAATTGTAAATACCTATAGATTGAAAGCACTCAATTGATCATACTTTGATACATTTCCGCGACCTTAGAACATTCTATGGGAAGCATTCGAATTGGCCTGAATCATACGGATATTAATAACTTAGTGGTAAGTAGAAAGACTGAGAGGTTAAAAGTAGATACAGCACCAGGATCAGATAAGGTTTCCTTTGGTTTTAACGGAGGTTAAATATATTATGCGAGTCTATTTCCTTCATATTTGGTAGGTAAATAGACAGTGCCTGATTGTCCATGAGTCTGGCAAGGCTGTTAGTACTAAGAAGGGGTCAAGTGAGAGTGGTATAATTTGTAAAAACATATTTAGTTGTTTGTTTGTAATTAAGCACAAAGCTACACAATGGGCTATCTGTGCTCTGCCCACTACGGGTATCGAAGCCCGGTTTCTAGCGTTGTAAGTCTGCAGAGTTATTTTTAGTTAAAAGGTAATTATGTATTTGACTATGACGGAAATTATGTTGAAGTTTAAATTAATCTTTATAGTTTGTAACATACAATTTTCAGTAAAAGTTAAATATTTTAAGTTGTTGTTTGACTTACCTATGATAAAAACAAAGAATTGTCGGTGTCAAAACGTATTATGGTGTATCCAAGATATTTGCCTCCATGACAGTCATGTGTGTTTCTTCTCTTCTTATTGCTTGCTTTAACAGATAGTTGTCATATACATATACATAATAACAAAGCGTGTGTGTTACCATGGTAACGAATCAATGTTACTTCCTAATCTGTTATTGCGACCTATTTATGATTATGAAGTAGTTTGTTAAGTCTAAAGAAAGTTCTTCTATTTAAACGAATCTGTGAACAATTCACATGCAGATAAAACAACAGTAAAAGTACCACTTCTTATGCCATGAAATGATACCCTCAGAAATCTTTAAAAACTTCTATACTTTCAGCAGGGCTATTATTGCTAAAAATATAGGATAGGTATTAGAAGTTTGGAAAATACATGATAGAATTTGTTCTCCATCTTGGTACTGATAGGCCCAATTTTTCATACCCTGGTTCATGAACTATAAGTGTTAGAAAGGCGATAATATTAGTGCTATTTTAAAAGGGATTGATTAGACTTGCCCTGGAAATCTTAGGCCGATTATTATGACTTCTGTAGTGGAAAAAATTCTAAAGAATCTGATGAATGAAGCTTTGTAATTTTTTAAGTAAAATATGAAATAAATCCAATAGAGATTCGCTAAAGGGAAATCTTACCTTACTAATATAATCTGTTATCTTTTCTCGAGAACGTTACTTGTTATCGGAACGATGGAAAAATAGTGGACTCGGTGTACTTCTAAAAATCTTTGGATAAGATGGTACACAGAAGATAACTAAGAAAACCACGTTAGTTGGGATTAGGGAAAGACTAGTTAATTAGATTCGTAGGTTTATTGGAAGAAAGAAAGCAAAAGGTTGTTATTAATGGAGTCCTGTCCAACTGGACTTTTGTTATTAGTGGTGTGCTTTAGAAGTTAGTGCTTGGGTCCTTGTTTTTCTTATTGACATTAATGATATTAATAAGGGAATAATTAGTAAATTAGTAAAGTTTGCTGATGACATTAAAGTCTTCAGAATTTCTAGCTACGTTGAGGTATTACAGAATGAATAGGGTCAATTGGTAAGTTTAACATATATTTGGCAAATGACCTATGATAATTTTAAGTGCAAGGTAAAGCATTTGAATTATCACAGTTTGGAGAACATGCTATATACTTTCTTTAGAGTAGAGTAAGATAAACCATCTATATATATATAACAAATGTATATCAAAATGAAAAGTGAGATAATCGAAAAAGTGGATTATATATATACAACCCTTGTTTTTTAATAATTGGTGGAATTGTTTTTTTCAATTAGGCGATTTCCTTTCAGTTTTGTTCAAGAAATGTATTTTGTTATTTCTTTCTTTAGTTTAATAAGAATTAATAGCTCATGTTTCATAATATTTGCTTTACTCTCATAAACAGGAAATTATACACATTTGTATATAATTGTATATTTCTTTGTAGTTAACCACAAAGCTACGTAATGGGCTGTCTGTGCTGTGCATACCACGGGTATCAAAACACGGATTTTAGCATTATAAGCCTTCAGATTTAACGCTGAGCAGTTTTTTTTCAGTTAACTATAACTGTAACGAAAATGTCTACTAACGAACATAAATCATGTCAGTTAACAGTAAGTACATTTATAGCTAAAAACATGTAAAACGATAATGTAATAATAACGAAAATTATTTAGTTATCTGATACGTACGTTGGGGACAAGCGGTTTGACTGAAATCCCTGTACATGTGAATAGAATTCGTCAGAAATGCAGAAACTAGTCATTCAGCTAAACCGAAAGTATGTTTACTGAAAACTTTTGCAAATAGTCCCAAAGACAGAATAATACTTTACCTTTAAAAAAGGGTTATTCTTTCTTACCCCCAGATACCACCGTGTTGCCTTGTTTTCACTTGTTAAGGTCTTCACTACTCGGTTAACTATATTAATAACTAAAACGATATTTTGGCCAGGTGGTTAGGGCGCTCGACTCGAAATCTGAGGGTCGCGGGTTCGAATCCCCGTCACACCAAACATGCTAACTTCCGTCTTTTCCTGGTTCCAAGTCCAGGATGAGAAAGGAGGAGGGTTAGGCGCGGGGCTAGCCAAAAGGTTATGTTCATTGATTGTTTGTTTAATACACCTATTGAAGTTATGTTCATTGACTGCATCATCTATTATCTGGATTGGTGTTTGACTTTGATGTACTGATATGTTTTAGACAGTATTGTTATTGTGTAAGTTATACATATGATTGTGTGTGTGTCTGTGATTTTAAATTTTCGTACTTTTGGAAAGGACGTCATACTTTGTTTAGAGTAGAGTAAGACAAACCATTTGGATGAATGCCAAAAGCCATTAGGTAGGTGTTTATAAACATGTTTAAAAATATAAACTTAATCGTTTTTCGCGTATAAATATGACTAGTAAACGAAAGTTATCATCAGTTTAGGAAAATGAATGTTCAAGTTAAAGACGTATAAGTGATGTATTCAATTCTAGAATCATTAAATGAAACATTCTATTGGTAGAATAATACGTTTAACATGCAGGACTACTACTTATATACCTATAAGTTTTATAAAGTTAATTCTATTTTTAAATAGTCTTAGAACTGTTTTTTAATAACTGTATGTGTTTTTACTTATTCCCCAGTCCGTTCTCGTTCCATGAGGCGTTTTTGTGTGTGTGTGTCAGAAATGGTCTTAGTCACCCCCTACAACGTGTTCGACTGGTCTTTTTAAACTCATCGACAGGTCACCATGGCAACAAGCACTTGGAAAGCATGATTATAAACTTATTGATTATCGTATAGTACAGGCTCACTACAGACTCAAGAGAGGTAGTTGGCATGTTTTCTTATGAGCACTCACAACATAAAACAATAAAATATTCTATGTGAGTCTGTAAATTTGAATATATCTAAAAAAAAAAATCGAGTAGTCATCCAAACCGAAAAATCAACAAATCGAACATAGGCAACCCAACTTATCAACAAAGAGCATCACTCTTCTCTATTCCTTAGTTGACGTCATTTTAACACATGCTCAGTTGAAGCGTCGCAACGGAGTCGTTTGGGGCATACACGCGTGGTTCACTACAGCTAGAGAACAGCAGCCATGAAGAACAGCATATGTTTAAAACACTATCTGTCTATGAACCAACTTCATCAGAAGTATTGTTAGTTATTATATGGACATTTTAAAGTGTTTCAGTTACTGTTAATATTTAATTGTGTACAACTTCTATAGGTACGGAGACGTTTTGTTCAGAGGAAACAATGAATCTCTCGAGTAAACCATATGAACAGTGAATAATCGAAGCAAAATTAGGTTGTTTCACTGAAATGTTCTGAAACTCGACAGGATATGCTGCTTTACTGGGGGTTTTGTCATGTCAACGGACGTCAGTTTCACCAAGCGTGCTGCAGCCGAACTAAGTCGATGTTTCAACGGTCTAGCAGTTCGAGGAAGGGCCAACAATGGCCGTTCTGCTGGAGGACTGACCAGTTCTCCGTCTTCAGTTGGTCAAGGATCAAATAGTCGTCACGACGTCTCTCCGAGCGATAAGAAAAAAATCCCTCGTGTGGACAAAATTGGCCAGATGAGGGAGTATTTAGCAACAGTAAAAAAACCACGGACACTGAGTGACTTGTGGCAAGATTCGGGATTTTTGGGAACGTTTTTTTGGTACTTCATTGCTCGTGACCGGAACACGTTAGCGCAAGTGTGCCAAATCTGGCGAGACGTACTGTATCAACCGAAGTATTGGAAGGGGGTTCTCCCAATTCTCCGGTGTCGTGAACTGCGGTCCCCTTCAGGGGATCTAGCAGCTACTTCCGAACTAAGGAAGCGGGTGTACCTCAGCCTCGAGCGTCGTGGTTTTGACTCGGCTTGTCTCTTTGGCGCCAATGACGAGGACGTGTATGATTTCGTGAGTAACTGTCCACCTTCTCAAGTGCGGAACCTGCGTCACGTAGCATTACGTTGCTGTAATGTGACAGATAAAGGTCTTGAGGCGTTGCTGGAAACTTTACAAGCCGTGACCCAGCTCGAATTGTTCGGCTGTAATGAGATTACTGACGCAGGCCTGTGGGCTAGTTTTAGCCCTCGTATTGTTTCCTTGACTCTAGCAGACTGTATCAATATAGCGGACGAAAGCGTTGCTGCAGTGACCCAGCTACTGCCATCCTTGTACGAGCTCAATTTACAAGCGTATCACGTGACAGATGCAGCTTTGGCATTTTTTGGGCCTCGCCAAAGTGCGACCTTAATTATTCTTCGTCTTCGATCTTGTTGGGAGATCACTAACCATGGCCTCCTTAATCTAGTCCACGCTCTTCCCAATCTGAGTGTACTCTCACTCTCAGGTTGCTCTAAAATAACCGACGACGGAGTGGAACTGGTAGCCGAAAACCTGCGACAATTGCGGTCACTTGACCTTTCCTGGTGTCCCCGAATCACGGACGCTGCTTTGGAGTACATTGCTTGTGACCTGACCCAACTGGAAGAGCTGACATTAGACAGGTACATATAACACGTTAATTTAATAATAGCAACTAATGTACAGTTAATAATAATATGGTGTAAAATGAAGTGGAACAATATAAGGCGGAATAAGATTTATTAGATGGGATAGAATAGCGTAGAGAAATTAATTGATATTGAAATAAGGTTTATTGAATGGGATGGACAGCGTAGTGAAACCAGATGAGTATTGTGTTTAAGTAAGGTTTATTAGATGTAATTGGAGCAACGTATAGGAAGCAATTGGATAAGATGTTGAAATGAACTTTACCAGATGGGATGGAATAACGTAGAGAAATCAGTTGGGTGTAATGTGGAAATGAGATTTATTAGATGGGATGGAGTAGTGTAAAGAAATCAGTTGGGTATGATTTTGAAAGGTGTATTAGAGTAATTTAAGCAAGTATTAATATGTGTGTGTATCTAAAAAACAGCAAGCTTACACAAGGTAATGCATCCTACGTAAGATGAAAAAGGGTACAGCAAACAAAGGAGTAGGTAAGATAATGTAGGAAAGGCTAGATTTGAACAGAGTAACATATAATGAAATAACTAATGTGAGTTAGATTAAGGTCGATGTAGTACAGTATAGTGAAATACAAAGGTATGTAATATATCAAATGTATAGTGAGTGACATAAGGCCAGAAAGATCAAGACACGCGGTAGTGTGTCGTTCGGTCACAACAACCTGCAGGACATACTGTGTGTTATTAACAGGAGTGATAGTTCAGCGATTTTCCACTTTCTGTAGCTCAGACTGTGGTAATCCAAACTATCATATATTTTCAGTGGATGTACTCTACTGGACCTTTCTTTCACATGCGAAATTTCAAGGCAATCCATTAAGAAATACACGAAATATAAAATCTCCAATTTTTATTGAATTATTTCCTTTTTCTCCGCACCGAAAGTACGGAAAATTTATTTGACAAAAAAGCAAACTTAACTTTTATGGATTTTATTCAAATTTATATCCTACGATTAGGTGTCAAATTTGGTCTAAATATAAGCTGCATGCGCAAAGTTATTTAACAAAAACCGCTCAAATTTGACCAAAAAGTCATGTGAGCTACCGTTCTGAATTTTTACTACAGCTTCACCTAACAGTAAAGGTTGGCTGTTTTTAGTTTTTGTCATCCGGATTAAAGACGGCTGATTTAGAGCAGCAAACCTATAGGATGAAAGGACATGCAGATACATCAGTATTGGTTAAGCCAAGCAAACAAGATTAATAGTTTCTAGCTCAATTTTTCAAAAGAATCATACGCGTGGACGGTTGATAGTGATTATTCATTGTCAACTTTTAAACACAAATTTGCTAATTTTTATGAAATTCTCCTGATTAGAGAAAGTTTAGCGTCATGTGATATTAACTTAAGCAATTAGCGTAACTATTGATGCTTGTTGATACACGGATGTACCGAGTGCATGCGGGTGATGACAAAAACTGTTTATCTAGATTACATGGCGTTACTATAAAGGAAGTTATTAACACTGTTTTAGAGAGGAAAACTACCACCATATATTTTAAAAAATCTGGTTGGTTCTGTAAAGTATAGGTCTGTTCCGAATAATAGAGTTGCGATCTTAAAGCCAATGTTGGTTACTGTTGAGTGTCACTTTCTTACTTGCTGTGATTTGTTGGTGTGTATTGACAAAAAGTCATGATATCTAATCAAAAACACCTTAGGTGTGAAAAAAGGTGCGGCCAAAAAAGGACTGAGAATGCGACTTAAAGTAATTTAATTAAAATTGGCGGCCAAATTGGTAACTACATTTATAGTATTGATAAGGATTTTACAGCAAATATTCATTCCTCAGTTAGCTAGGCCGCATAGTTTGTTTTACCCACCATCATGTCCCGAGCTGAACATAAAACGCGGCCTAGCTAACTAATGAATGAATATTTGCTATATGTATAGCTTCCAGTTTAGCCGTCAATTCTGATTTCATTTCTTTAAGTAGCATGTTCAGTCTTTTTTGGCTGCACCTTTTTTCACACCCAAGGTGTTTTTGATTAGATTTTGAAAAAAATATAAAAAAACAAGGTAATTTATATTAATTGAGGTAAGAGACTGTAAAGAATAGAATATGTAGGATTGTGTAATGTGGGTTAACTTACAATAAAGTGAATGTATATATATCATTCTTATATTGATAAATATTAAAGCTAATGACAGAAATACACAACATAAGATATAATGTTTGAATTAAGTAAACTAGAGTATCATACTTACGGCGGGAAAAGTTAGTGGAAAAAATAAGTTTGATAATTTAAGAACATAATTTGTTGGAACAGATTATATATATATAAGATGAAAAACCAGAAGACAGAAACAAGAATATGTAACACAAATAGCAAGGGCAATACTAAATTATAGCAAGGTAAATAGGTTGAGATAATATAGGATGAATTATAATAACACAAGGAAAAATAATCTATAGTGAAGAAAGTTTGGGATCTGTTGGACGTCTATAAGAATCTTCACCAAGAACTAAATTCTGAGAATCTGCCTTGTTCAGATACTGTTTTATTTCCTATTTTTCATTTTGTTTGGTAGACTATATTTTTTTAAGTATTCCTGCAAAACAATTAAATTTTATATTAGGAAGGTAGTTTTATCATAAATGTAATTGCATTAGGAGTAATGCACAGGGAAATATTTTTAAGATTTTTTTTTTTTCATGAGCAGGCTTCTTTTGTGTCGAGAACTAACATTTAACTGAATTAAAACTGATGCTGTCGTTGTTTGAATAATATCGAATCAAACAAATATCTAACAGTGGAAAGCATCTTAGCACTTTCAAGTAGGGTATATATACATCCACTTTTCCGTCTCTTGGGAGAGATATGCGCAGCTTGAAACTACCTCCATTTGAAGATTAACCTTTAAAATGTAGCATGCGTTACGTAGGCAGTACTGGAGTAGCTGCTGTAGACAAAGAAGTAGTGGTATCTCAGGAGAAACAGGACGAATTGCTGTACATTGTAACACCTACGCAACATTTCTTTATTTCCATGGCAACTTAAGAATACTCGTATAGTAACGCTATTTAATACAAAGTCTGTTTACTTCCAGACCAATATTTCATTACATTGACTTTTATATTGTTTGAATTAACGTCATTTTTTCCTGCTGTGTTTAGTGCGAGCCCTTAATATATGTACAAGGTGTCTAGATACAGCACACTAGAAACTGTCTTACAATATTTGTTGTTTTAGAGTATTCATTTGCTCATCAAGAAAACAATATACTTAGTGTAAGTTAAGAAGACTCTGACTCGAGTTACTTTGCAAAGAAAAAGTACAAGGGAAAGAAAATTAATAAACACATTTTATTAATGCTGACATAAACACTTAACGTTTTTTAAACAAGAACATATGAACAACGACATATAATATTTATGGGATTTTTTGAGCCATTTTATACTCAAAATATTGTAACCTAAATTGATTTAGGTGTGTGAATAAAATTATGGAATGATGCCTAATTTATTATTTGATATTATACAGCGGACGAACTGTTTAACGATTATATTACAAAAGGTAAAACTGAAAGTAGAATCTGTGACGTAGAGACCTAATGCACTCTTTGATTCGCCGCACCCTCTACTGTGGACTGCAGTCTCGCGTATTCAAGGCTCATCAGCACAGCTAGAGTCAGCAAACCAAAGCCTCTTCTGTTTTATACGGATATTAAGATATCATACTAATGACAGAAATATAGTAGACTCAGTACAAATATATATATATATATATATTGTTTGCTTTAAAATCTGTTTTAATTTTATATAAACTTTTTTTTTCCAGTAAAGTAGCTAATGAAATGAATTATATAGCGTGTCAGTTTGTAGAAGATTTAATCTGTTTATCAGTATATATAAATATATATATATATATAGGTGTGTGTTGTTTTTGTATGTCCCCACTGGGACAGTTTTAGATTTGAGAGGCAGCTATTTATTTTTTTATTTTAACTTAACGTTACTTAATTTTATTAAACCGTTTTCTGATCATCTGGACTAGCAGTGGTTAATTATATTAGTTTGAGTTCAATACTAATGTATCTTGTAAATGAATGCTATTTTTACATGTTATATATTTTTAAGCCAAATTCTTAGTATATTTTATTTGTTAGTCATCAAACCATTATATTTGTTTCAAGCATGAAAAAACGCACGTATTCTAATAAGGGTTTCATAATATTAATCTAAGATTAACAGAAACTGT